CCCAAGAGCCATCAACAATGTTGGAGTACACCCTCCCTCCAAGCCCCCTTTTTTCATAGGCCCCTACAACGGTTCATTTCCATTGAAGGATCTGCCTCGTTGGAAGACAACCGTTTGATGACTCGGAAGCATGCCGAAACAGTGTTCTCGGGATTCCAACGCCACGGACCAACCTGACTGTTGCGTCTTGACGATCCTGGATCGTGCCTGAACGCCGTTCTTTGCATTCCAACACCGCGAATCAAAATAACTGTTGCGCCAGCAAACAAATCATTCGAAAACACGGCTTCAAACACGCTGATCGTGGGAATCCGTAAAAGTCTTGCAATGTAGTCGAACGAATGTGCGCGGCGCAAAGGCCAGACCCACATGTTGAAAAGGAACCGCCCTCAATCCGTGAAGCCTTTTACACTTTTGTATAATGAATGTGTGCTGCGCTAAAGCGAGACCCACATTTTGAAAACGGGTCATCAAACCGTGAAGCTCTTGCAAACCTTTGTGACGAATGTGCGCGGCGCTAAAGCGAGAACTACATGTTGAAAACGGGCTATCCTCAATCCGTGAAGCTCTTGCAAGTTGTTAGAACGAATGTTCGCGGCGCTAAGGCGAGAGACATGTTGAACACCACCCGCCCTCCATCTGTACAACTGTTGCGACTTGTTAAGCTTCATAGTCACAAGTGGTGAGGAAGTCTGAGGCACGCCGCCCAGCCCGCCCAAACAACTGGCCTCGGGGTGCGATAGGGAACAACAGTTTCAGGAAAAGGAATGGAAGAGGAGGAGGAGGAGGAGGAGAAGGAGGAGGAGGAGGAGGAGGAGGAGATGAGGGAGGGAGGAGGAGGAGGGGAAAGGAGGAGGAGAGGGAAAGGAGGAGGAGGAGGAGGAGGAGGAGGAGGAGGAGGAGGAGAAGGAGGAGGACGGGGAGGAGGAAAGGAGGAGAGAGGAAGGATGCGAGGAGGAGGAGGAGGAAGAGAGGGGGGGGGGAGGAGGAGAGGGAGGGAGGGGGGGGGGAGGAGGAGGAGGAGTGGGAGAGGAGGGGAGGTAGGAGGAAAGGAGGGAGGAGGAGAGGTAGGAGGTGTCCCGGAGTAAGACGAGGAGGAGAGGAGAAAGGAGAGGAGGAGGAGGAGGGGGGGGGGAGGAGGAGAGGAGGAGGAGCGAGGAGGAGGGGGAGGAGGAGGGGAAAGGAGGAGAAGGAGGGAGGAGGGAGGAGGGAGGAAAAAAAAAAAGAAAAAAGAGGAACGAGGGAGGAAGGAGAGAAGGAGAAAGGGGGAGGGGGGAAGAGGGATGAGGGGGAGGGGGGGAGGAGGGGAGGGTGATGAGGGGGAGGAGGACACGAAGAGGCGACGGGAGCGGCCCGCCTCCAGCGCAGCGCCGCGGCGGCCGCGCGCAGCGCCCCGGGGCAGCCCAAACGGCGCGAGGCGCTCCGCCCCGGAGCGGCGCACAGCGCGGGGCGCGGGGCCGCGAGCGCGGAGGCCTGCGCGCCCAGGGCGGGGCGCGGAGGCGGGGCCCACAGCCGAAGCACCTTTTCCCTCCTCCTCCTCCTCCTCCTCCTCATCCCCTCCTCTCCTCCTCATCATCCTCCTGGTCCTCCTCCTCCTCTCCTCCTCCTCCCTCCTCCTGCCTCCTCCTGGTCATCCTCCTCCTCGTCCTCCTCCTCCTCCTCCCTTCCTCCTCCGTACCCTTTTCCTCGATGCCTAGCATCCCTCCTCCTCCTTTCCCCTCCTCTTCCTTCCTCCTCCTCATTCCTTCGGACCCTTGGTCCTCCTCCTTCCTCTCCTCCGCTCCCTCCCTCCCTCCCTCCCTCCCTCCCTCCCTCCCTCCCTCCCTCACTCACTCACTCCTCCTCCTCCATCCCCTCTCCCTCCCTCCCCCTCCCTTCCCTTTTCCCTTTTCGCAGTTGGTGGCGCGCTGTCTCACTCACTCACTCCTCCTCCTCCATCCCCTCTCCCTCCCTCCCCCTCCCTTCCCTTTTCCCTTTTCGCAGTTGGTGGCGCGCTGTCGCGCGCGGGCGCACCAGGCCCCGCCGGGCCGGGACGGGGGCGCCGACCGCCTCGAGGGCCTATGGGCCCTCCGTTCCCGGACCCTCCCTCGCCCAGCTCGCATTCCACTGTTCTCTGAATCCGCCGAACCCCCCAGGGGGGAGACGGCAGGCGACCGTGGGCCGCGCCGCAGAACGAGGACGAGGACGAGGACGAGGACGCGGACGACGACGACGACGACGCCGACGACGACACGACGACCGGCGACGCGGGGGCAGCAGCCGGGGGGGGGGCAGGAGTGGGCGCCGAGCAGGACCACAGCAACAAGCAACAACCACAGCCGACGGCAGCGCAGCAAAAGCAGGCAGCAGGGGGGAGGCAAGGGCGGACAGGGAGGGGGCAGCCCAAAAGACCCCAGGGGACGGCGGGATACTCAGTTAGACAACTGACCCCTCCGCCTACCCAAGTCACCCATTCCCGCGCAGCCCCCCAGCGGGGGCAAGAAACGGGCGGACGAGAGGGACAGCCGGGCGACAACGACGACAAGAACGCCCAAGCGACGACAACGACGCCAACAACGACGACGACGACGCCAACAACGACGACGACGACGACGACGACGACGGCGGCGACAACGACGACGACAACGACGACGACGACGACGGCGGCGGCGGCGGCGGCGGCAGCGGCCGCAGCGGCGGCGGCGGCGGCGGCAAGGACGACCCGGCCAGCAGAGCCACGCCCGACCGGCCAAGCAGCAGACACCCCGGCACCGAGGCGAGGGAGCAGCAGCACGCACAGGAGAGGAGAGCAGCGCAGCAGCGGCACGGTCCACAGCGCCACGGGAAAGCAGCAAAGCAGCAGCACAGCACCGAGGCACCAGCGGGCCAGGCGGGGAGCAGGAGGGAGCAGCACGGCAGCAGCACAGCAAGGGAACGCGGCAGGGAGGGCAGAAGAGCGGCAAGCAGGCAAGCCGCAGCAGGCACAGCAAAAGCAGCAACCCCGCAAGACCCCAGGGGCGGCGGAGACAGAGAATCTAAACAATAATGGTGTTGCTGTTGCCAGAGCCTCACAAGCCTGACCGAAAAATGCCAGCCTCGGCAGCATTTCTTCCACTGTCGGCGCCCCCAGCAGCACCCGCCGGGTAGCTGCCACCGCGGCCCCGCCATATAGCTCCTGGCGCCAGGCGGCCGTGCCCGGGCAGGAGGCCAGCAGGTGGTCCAGCGTAGCCTCGTGACCCCCGCACAGGGGGCAGGGAACGAGGGCGGGAACCAGGCCTCCGCGACCCCACGCCACCAGCGGAATAGAGCCCGTCACACGCGCAATAATCCAGGCCCTAAAATACTTCCAGACACGCCTGCTCCATGGGGCCCACTGCAAACCCAACGGGAACGGCGACCTCGCCGGGGCCAGGATAGCGTACGGCGCACCGTCCCCAGCCGGCAGGACAGCCATCTGCTCCTGGAACCACGCCTCCTCCGCCCGCCTGATTGCAGGCATGACCACTGCGCGCTTCCACTGGCCAACCACTGCACGGCATTTCGCCCTGTCGGACCGATCCACAGCTGCCAGGTCCCTGTCCAAGTGAAGCGGGGTAATCCCACAGCTCCTGGCAATGGCGTCGGCCCTGTCGCACCACGTCTCGCCCGTAACCGCCGCTGCTCCCAAGCACGCCACACGAGCCACCGCGTCCGCTGGGAGGAGCACGATGCGCGCCCTTGCCGTTACTATCCGCTGGGCCAACGTCGCCGCGACCCGCGTGAACAGGCGCAACTCGGAGAAGCAGCGCACGTGGCCTCCGGCCCCCAGGGACACACTAGGCCGAAGTCCCAACATGCATTTCGCAGCCGAATACATGGCCTCATTCAGACGCCTGGACACCACAGCCCAGCCGCCAGTGAAGCACGCCAGTAACTCGCATCCATAGAGTACCGCCAGTAAAATGCGCTTCCCAAACTGCGCGGTCAGCAGGGGGAGGCCCAAGCCTAAGTCAGCAAACGACGTTACAATTTCCTGTGTCTGCGAGACAATCATGGCGCAGGTACGGTCCAACAGCGGCTGAAAGGTGAGATTTGCATCCACCACAGAGCCCAGTACGTTCATTGTCGCCCGAGCCTCGACTGCCTCCCCGCCCACGGTACCATAGCTGCCCGCCGGCCCCCGGGGCACCCCGACCGGCAGGACCGTCGGGCGTTTTTCGCCGCCTTGGAATGCGTGGCGCCACCTTTCACAGAACACGTCGAGGCGGACGCACGCAGCGCGTATGCCCGCCACCGAGGACTGCAGCAGGAACGCGTCATCTACGAACTGCGCCAGACCGACCCTGTGCGGCGACATGCTGTCCAGGAGCGCCAACTGTTCGCCTCCCCCGACCAAGGAACGCATGTGTTCTGGCCAATCTGGACGGCGATACCCCTCCTCCCTCCCTCCCTCCCTCCTCCCTCCTCCCTCCTCCCTCCTCCCTCCTCCCTCCTCCCTCCTCCCTCCTCCCTCCTCCTCCTCCTCCTCCTCCTCCTCCTCCTCCTCCTCTCTTCTGCTTCTTCCCTCTCCTCCCCTCCTCCTCCTTCTCCTCCTCCTCCTCCTCCTCCCTTCCTACTCCCTCCCTCCCCCTCCCCTCCCTCCCCCCCTCCCTCCCTCCCTCCCTCCCTCCTCCTTCTCCATCCCCCTCTCCCTCCCTCCCTCCCTCCCTCCTCCCTCCCTCCCTCCCTCCCTCCCTCCTCTCCTCCTCTCCCTCCTCCCTCCTCCCTCCTCACCTCCTCCTCCTCCTCCCTCTCCTCCGTCTCTCCTCCTCTCCTCCCTCCTCCTCTCCTCCTTGCTTCTTCTTATTCTTATTATTCTTCTTCTTCTCCTCCTCCTCCTCCTCCTCCTCCTCCTCCTCCTCCTCCTCACCGCCGTGGCCTCCCCTGCCGCCGCAGCCCCCAGGCCGCCGCCGGCGCTCTCGCCCGCGGCCTCATCCAGCAGGGCGGCCAGGAGCCACGGCCCGCCATCGCCCTCGGCCGCTCGCGACGCCTGGCCTGCCCTGGCGCTCGCGAGCGCCAGCGCGGCCGCCCGCGCCGCGCCGGCACGGTCCAGCCCGCGCCGGGCCAAGCGGCCCTGCCGCAGCAGGCTCGCCGCGCGGAAAGCGAGGGCGTCCAGCGTCGCCCGCTCCTCGGCGGCGCGGGCCGGCGACGGCGCCAGCGCGAGCAGCGCCAGCGCGGCCTCCCGCGGCCCGAGCTGCTCCGCGCTGCCGAGGGCCCGTGCCACGGTCGGCGCCGCGGCCCGCGCGTCGAACCCGGCCTCTGCGAGGCCGGCGAGCGCCAGGGCCGCCTCCGAGCCGCCGAAGGAGCCGCCGTCGACCTCGGCAGGCCCGTGCAGCGACAGCCGCGCCGCCGCGCGGCGCAGCGGCGCCTCGCACTCGCCGCCGCGATGGGCCACCGCCAGGCGGCAGAGGGCGCGCGAGAGGCCACACCACTCCTGGGCGCGCAGGGGCAGCGCCCCGCGCTCCTCGAGCACCGCGACGGCGAACTCCAGGTGCTCCGCCACGCTCCGCTGCCACTCGGGCCCCAGGGGCACCTCGGCGGCCGCGAGCGCCACGCAGCGCAGCACGGAGGCCATCTGCAGGTGGCGGCCAGGGGCGCGCTCGCCCGCCCGGGCCGCCTCTCCGCGCGCCAGCGCAAGCGCTCCCCAAAGCAGGCCCTGCAGCACTGGCCTGGCTTCCTCCTGCGTCGCCGCGGCGTCGAAGCAGCCCAGCCTCTCTGCGGCCACGAGCGCGGCGGCGGCCAGCGGCACGTCGAGCTCTCCCCGCAGGCGCTGGATCAGCAGCTCGTCAGCGCCCGCTGCGCCCTCGTCGAGCTCCGCCCGGGCGGCGCCCCACACGCCCCAGAGGCGCTGGTGCAGCAGCCACAGCAGCCCGCCGCACAGCGCGCCCTGGCGCAGCTGCAACCTGCCCATGGCCCGCAGCAGCCGTGCCAAGCTGGCGGAGGCGAGCCCCCCGACCGGCTCTTCCAGCACGCGCGCCGCGGCGGCCTGGCAGATCTCCACCCCGCGCGGCGCCCAGCAGAACGCCCCCGCCAGCCGGCATGCCGCCGAGGCTTCGAGGGCCCCGAGCCGCCCAACGTTCGCGTCCCCCACGCTGCCGGCGTCGCCAGCGGTGCCCGCGGCAGGTCCCAGCAGGTGGGACGCCATGGACTCAAGCAGGTCCGCCACGGGACCGCCGCCATCCGTCGACGGGTCAGCACCCGGCCCAGCCGCGGCGGCTTCGCCGAAGGCCTCCGCGAGCACGGCAAGGTCGCGCCCGCAGAACCTGTCCCAGTGCAGCGGCTGCGCAGGACCCCCCACCTTCGAGTAGAGGGCTTTACAGACCCGACTCACCCCCCACATTCCTGTGCTCGTCGAACCCATGAGGGATGAAATGAAACTTCGCAGATCTACTCACAACCTACGCATGACTCGACGAGAGATCAATGTTGAGGTAAATCGACTATGTACTCCAGACTTCGTAATAAAAGGGAGGGGTCTGGACCCTCCAAGACAAGCCATTTCAGACCTCCCCCGTGGGAGAACCCTCCAAAACATCGTCCCCAGACCCCCCAGGCCCCCCAAGATCGCCTGGAAGAGACCCCCCCCGAAAGGAGGCCCCCCTCCCTTTGTTACGAGATCTGGAGTGCGTAGACGATCCCCACGCTCGACACCTGCGCACCCAGCAGCAGGGCCGCCAGCGCCTCCAGCGGCAGCAGCTCCTCCCTGCCGCGGCACCCCGCGCCCGCGAGCCCCGCGGCGGCGAACGCCACGTGCTGCGGGCGCGCGAAGGCCGGCGCGGTCCGCAGCACGGCGGGGCGCAGCGTCGACCTTGCACGAAGTCGGGCCTGTCCCCCTGAACGGGGATTTTCGAGGAAACATAAAAATGATACCAGAGAAAATTATCCCAGTGCGACCCTACATAGGAGTTGGAGCCCCTAGGAAAGCAGCATTAGTACGAACAGTGAAGGTAAAGCTAAGCTAAAGCTAAGTTAAAACTAAACTAAAGCTAAGCTAACGCTAAGCTAAAGCTAAGCTAAGCTCAGGGTACGCTACAGCTAAGATGAAGCTAAGCTAAAGCTAAGCTAAAGCTAAGCTAAGGCTAAACGAAGGCTAAACTACCGCTAAACTAAACCTGAGCTAACGCTAAGGTGCAGATAAGCTAACGCTAAGCTAAAGCTAAGCTAAAGCTACGGTAAAGGCTAAGCTACAGCTAAGCTAAAGCCAAGCTAACGCTACGGTAAATGCTTAACTAAAGCTGAGCTAAAACTAAGCTAACAACTACGCTAAAGCGAAGCTAAAGCTAAGGTGCAGCTAAGCTAAAGCCAAGCTACAGCTAAGCTAAAGCTAAGCTAAATCTAAGGTACAGCTAAGGTACAACTAAGCTAAAGCTAAGCTGAAGCTAAGCTGAAGCTAAGCTAAAGCTAAGCTGAAGCTAAGCTAAAGCTAAGCTACAGCTAAAACTAAAGCTAAGCTAAAGCTAAGCTAAAGCTAAGGTGCCGCTAAGCTAAAGCCAAACTAAAGCCAAACTAAAGCTAAGCTAAAGCTAAGCTGAAGCTAAGCTACAGCTAAGCTAAAGCTAAGCTAAATCTAAGCTGAAGCTAAGCTGAAGCTAAGCTACAGCTAAGCTAAAGCTAAGCTAAAGCTAAAGCTCTCAGGGGACTGGGGAAACCGCGGGGCGGGGACTGGGGGAACCGCCCGGGGCGTGTAGCACTGCCCGGCCCTTTAAGCAAAGAGAGTAAGAACCCTTCTAGGCAGAGCCTATGTAGGGAAAAACCAATCAGATTTTTTGGGGGGCTATGGGGCTTTAGGGCTTTAGGGCTATGGGGCTATAGGGCGATGTGGCCATAGGGATATAGGGCTAGAAGCCTTTAGGGCTATGGGGCTATAGGACTACAGGGCTGTAGGGCTATAGGGCTAAGGGCTATAAGGCTACTCGGGCTATAGGGCTATATACGGCTATAGGGCTTTAGGACCACAGTGCTATAGGGCTATAGGGCTATAGGGCTATAGGGCTATGGGGCTATGGGGCTATTGGGGCTATAGGGCTATACGGCTATAGGGTTATAGTGCTATAAGGATACAGGGCGATTGGGCTATTGGGCTATAGGGATATAGGGCTATTGGGCTAGGCACCCCCGGGCACTTCTGGGCACCCCGGGCACCCGGCCACCCCTGGGCACCCGGGCACCCGGGCACCCCCGAGCACCCCCGGGCACCCGGGCACCCGGCCCCGGCCACCGAAATCGGCCACACACCTGGGCACCCGGGCACCCCCGGGCACCCCCGGGCACCCGGGCGCACCTGGCCCCGGCCACCGAAATCGGCCGCCCGCCTCACCTCAGCTTTATATCCGCTAAGACCCCTACAGAGGCAAGCTCTGATTGGGGAAATACACCAAAAATAGCCCACCAAAAATCAAAAATAATCTGGGGACTACTTTTTGAATATTTGTTGGCCACTTTGGGGCATTTTCGGTGTATTTTCGTCGAAAATCTCCCTGTAGGGGGACAGGCCCGACTTAAACCTTGCAGGCGGAGCAGTCTGTTCCCGAGGGGCGAGAGAGGCGTGGGCATCGAGGCGAGCCTCAGCCGTTGAGGGAGGAGGGGAGGGAGAGGGGCGGGGGCGCCTGCGCTCTCCGCACTCCGACGGTAGACGGCGGGCACCCCAGTGTGGCGAGGGGGGCGGGTGGGGGAGGCTGAGCGGAGACGACGGGGGGGCCGGGGGGGGGGAGGCTGTGGGGAGGGGGGAGGACGGGGTGGGACATCGGCGGGGCGGGGAGGGAGGAGAGAGGGGAATGCAAGCCGAGTGCGCTCGCGTGAGTTCTGACATCCTACCCGTCGCACCCATCCCCTCCCACTGCGCTCTGGCAGTGTGCGCGGCCAATTGTTTCCCGACCTTCCTGTGTTGGGCTATCATTTCGAATATGGCACGGCTCGCGCGTCTTCTCCTTCTTTCCTTCCGCCTCCCTCCTGTTGCCGTGTGCCTCCTGCCTGCATGCTTCCTACCTGCTATTTGCCGCATTACCTCGCGGCTGCCTCGGGGTGCTGCCAAATCCGCAACTGTGGCTACCGTCCTGGGCCACTGGGCCCATCAAAGTGGTGTCATACGCGCGTCCAGACGTGACCTCGCGGCTCCCTGGGGATGCTGCCACCTGCGCAGCTGCTGCCACTTTCGTGGGCTCCCGGGGTGGGGGGCATCGCAGTGGTGTCATACGCGTATCCAGACTGCGACTGCGAACCGTCGCCGCTGTCGTGTGCTCCTGGGATGCCCAGCGGAGGGGTGCCATACGCGCATTCAGGCTATACCTCGCCGGTCCCTGGGGGTGCTGCCGCTTGCGCAACTGGGGCCACTCTCGTGGGCTCCTGGGGGGTCCAGCGTTCCCTGGGGGTGCTGCTGGCTGCGCAACTGTCGCCACAGTCGTGGGCTCCTGGGAGGCCCGTCGGAGAGGTACAGCACGCGCATTCAACCTGGACCTCGCGGCTCCCCAAGGGTGCTGCCACCTGTGCAACAGTCACCACTTGCGTGGGCTCCCTGTCCGACGCGAAGGGGCCTGCGCGGACTGAGGCTCGCTGCCTTCTGGGGCTGCTGCCGCTTGCGCAAGCGTCGCCACTCTCGTGGGCTCTCGGCGGGCCCACTGGATCCGTGTCATACACTTTTTTGGGGTCGGCGGGTCGAGAGCGGGCCTCTTCCGGTTAAGAGCTAGGCGGGGCGCGCGAAGCACTAATTGGGGAGACAGGGCGCGGGCGGGCGGGGCCGGTGCGGAGTACAGGCGGAGCCGAAGAGCTTGCACAGGAAAAGGTACGCCTTGGAACAGAGCCGTGCCATACACGCGCATGCAGACAAAACCTCGCGGCCCCCCGGGGGAGTGCTACCACCTGCGCAACCAGCGCCGCACGCGTGGGGTCCCGAACGGCCCAGCGCGGAGAGGCGCCACGCGCACAGCTGGACCGGAGGAGGAGGAGGAGGAGGAGGAGGAGGAGGAGGATGAGGAGGAGGAGGAGGAGGAGGAGGAGGAGGAGGAGGAGGAGGAGGGGGAGGGGGAGGAGGAGGAGGAGGAGAGGGAGAAGGACCGCACGGCTCCCTGGGGGCGCTGCGCCAGCATCGCGCAGTGCAGGGGTGGGCCAGGCACGCTCGCGCACGGCGCCCTGAGACCCCTGCGCGTGCCTGTTCTCTTGCTCCTCCCTGCTCCTGCCGCTCTTGTCCTCCGCTCGCCTGCTCCGCGGCGTGCTCGTCGCTGCCCTGCCTCCTGCGCTCGCGGGAGCGATCGCGCGCACGTGGGGGGCCGCGCCGGTTGCCCGACCTTGCTCGGCGGGAGCGCTCAAGCGTGCTGCACGTCTCACAGTGTGTCGCCGCGCCGTTTGTCCTGCTCCTCCTTCCTCCCTCCTCCCCTCCTCCTCCTCCTCCTCCTCCTCCTCCTCCTCCTCCTCCTCCTCCTCCCCTCCCTCCCCTCCCTCCCTCCCTCCCGCGGGAGGAAGGAGGACAACGCCGACGCCGCGGCAAACCCACGGCAAAGCCCGCGTCCCGCGCCCCAAGTAAGCGACGCCGGCACCGCGGCCAAGCCTATACGTCAACCCCCCCGCGTCCGGGGCGGCGTTTGCAGCTGTGGCCGCGGCGCCCTCCCCAAGACGGGCGGCCGCGAGTCAGGACAAACGGCGCGTCGACACGTGCTGTCTTGAGGAGAGAGCTCCCACCGAAAGTCGCCTCGCGTCGAAAGTGGGCTGGGTGCGTCTCTGGTGATCTCCCCTCGCCAGATCGTCGTGCGCGCGCGCGTGCGCCCTCCATTCGCTGGGTGGGAGCGCGCGCCGATATCCAAATGCGCACGTGCACTGGCCATCGGCGGTCGCACTGTAGGTGGGGGTGGTGGAGTGGGCGAGGCCCGCTGATTCGCAGGAGCTGGCCAACAGGACGCCAGCTCCTGCTCATACTCCGGCGCGCCTACTTCGACTGCTACTCAAACTCTTACCAATCTCCCCTATTGATACATGCCCCGACTCTGTCACTTAGCCGGCCGATGCGACCCGGGATCGGACCTCCCAGCCTACCTGTAAACCAGTACCCTGCGACCGACGCGATCAATTTGCATCAAGTGGAAAGAGAAGTTGGTCCACGCTCGTATGGATGATTCTACCGCAAGAACAGTCATCCCCCGTGCAATCTACACAACAGTTGAACATGCGCACGACCTAAAGGACCGCCACAGAGAGACGACGAATAAACCGTCACAACAACGGTGAGGTCCTGCTCTGATCCGCGTAGCACCGCACTAAGCTGGCCCCTTAATGAGTTTATGAAAGTGGCGACAATTTCGCAGTTCGCATCCCCCAGAGATGGCGAGGCCCCGTTCTGATCTGCGCAGCGCAGCGCTAAGCTGGCCCCCTCGAAAGTGGCGACGGACTTGCAGTTCGCACCCCAAGGACGGCGACACTAAGACGTCACTGTGCTGGCCCCCCCCAGCCGCCCTCGAAAGTAGCAGCAATTTCCGGATAGCTCTCTGAGAGCTATGATGATTTTATATTAGGAAAGGGTAGCCCTGGAGCTCTTTCCGGCGCCGGGCAGGCATCCCGGCAGCGCCTCCTGTGAAACTCCAGCGTGCCCCGAGAGCGTGTCCTATTCGTTCACGATAATCACGTGTCGGGAAAACCTTTCCGCAGCTCCTTTCAAGCTCTTCCCGAGCTTCTGCGAAGCTCTTGTCAAGCTTGTAAGCTCCCCAGATATTCATTTCAACTGTCCTTGCAAGCGTCTCCCACAAGCGATTCACGCGCTTTGGACCGTTCCGCTATCTAGGCTTGGACGCTTCACGTTTCGCAGTTCGCAGCCCCCCAGGGATG